GAAGTTCCATAGATTTAATTCTCTGCTAACATTTACATTAGCCTAAATTGGCCGCATACCCTTGATTCGGGCCTTGAAACCTATACATTCAATTATAGGAAATGAAAATATAGATTGACTGAAATGAAACACAATACCAAGGGCGTATAAACCTATATACCTGAACTTAAACCCAGGGGTATCGTTCATGCAGTTTGGTGCTTCTTTGAGATTAGGCTTCAAGTGGATCAAAGTATAAACTTCTCACTCGATCTATATGATACATTTTAGAAGACAGACATATAGGGGACTGTTTCTTCACGTACTGCATATACAGTCATTCTTTATCTCTCACACTAAACTCAGTGATTCAATCCTATCAATCCAATGGAATCTGAAACTCTTCTCTGATCGAGAGATGAGGTTTATATAGACTTGTTAACTGATAATCATGAAATCTTAAATCGATAACTTCAAAGTTGTCATCTTTAATCTGTGTCTTTATCTTCACGCTGATTTGCATCTTCATTTTCATGAGTGAGCCTTCATGATGATAATCACGCAACTTAACTCGATAATCACATGATTTAAATGGATTAGTATGCATGCACATGTATCCTTTGATGAAAATCACACGTTTTAGTCAATGCCTATCTTCATAATATTCAAACTTGAACTGACAAATCCCAGATTCAGTAGAGACATTGCGTGAGCAAAATCAAGGATTTTGTTACTCTTTATCGAACATAAATTAAACGTCTGCAGCACAACTTTGAAATGCCTTCGTAATTATTCAATAGCTTCCTAATGATAGATCCCTTAAACATGAAATTTGGAGAGCTAAAAGAGGAGTCGAAGACGAACACAATGGTTCAAGTCTCACTTTCAATGGATCATAGATGACAGAGATTTCGTCTGTCAAAGTTACATATTTCTACTAGAAATTGCATTAGCAAAACCAGTATATTACGAATGTAACCGCTTCCAACATATAGATCAAATAATGTTACACCTTTTCAGGGCGATAGGGTATCGAGTCAGGAGTCCAATGGTCTTGGTCTCATAAGAAAATTCTTCATACCCAAAACAAATCTTGATTTTGGTGAGTAGGAGTTTTCCTGAATGTATCATACAGTGTATAAAACTTTTAAGGCTTTGACTGTCAAGAGATACGGATGATGGGTTAAGCCACCTCAAATTGATATAAAACTTCAGGGTGAAGGATATCATGCCTCAAATATGAATTCCTATAAGTCTCTGCTCCATCCAAAACATAAAGTTTTGGGGAATCGGTCAAGGCATGTCCTGACTGACCATGTATATGGATGTTGGGTTTAAGCCAATTACGAATATTACCCAATTTGTATAACTTTTGGAGTTAGAGGCATATAAGGGCATCATGATAGATATACCTTCAAAGATATACCTCATCACAATATCACATGATGAGGTTTCCTTACACGCCATCTATTAAGCCTCATATCCTTAATCAGTGGTGGACTAAAAGAATCATAGTATGTCTCATCGAAACTACTCCAATATCATTTGGAGAGGCATATATGGCTATGGGAGTATATGTATCCTAGAGTTTTGTCTCAAATTGACACGTATTCATGATTTCTTATACTCAATTGTTTGTCACGATGCACAGATGTGACTGACGATGGATGGGAAGCTTATCATTCTATATCAAATTCGTCCACCTATCACATGGAGAGGCATATAGGGGCTTTAGGAGTATATGTATCCTAGAATTCATCTCATACTAAGATTGGTTTAATATCTTCTATCATCACCTGTTAGTCAAGATGAACATGCTTAACCGACAAGTCATTGGTATCAAATATCTGTAATATTTTGTTAAGAAGGGTTTATGAGTCCTAGGAGTATATGTATCTTAAAATATGTCCCATATTAAGATGGTTTGATTCCTTCTACTATTATCGATCGTTAATAAGGTTGACTAACGAGTCAGAACTATGAAGGCATAGTGGAGCCTTCATATGATGAATCCTAGAGTGTATCATATCTTTCATATTTTCATATCATATCATACCATATAATGGGCCATATCTTAGCAGGTTTTGTCAAGAACCATCCTCATATCGTATCCATCATTTGTTTAAGACGATTATCTAATGTCTATCACAGTTTCACTTATAACCAAGTCTTCAATCTTATCAAGCATTCCTTATAATGTATCTAGTCTTGTATGTGACTAAAAATACACTCAATACTTGGCTATGTCAACTTTACTTAAATTGATCCCTACGTCTTGAAAGATTGCCCCTGGTCTAACCCCTTGCTTGTTCAATATGTTAAGGGCTGACTTAGTGGTCCTCAGTTCCAAAAACATGGGCCGAAGGGCTACTAACCTCGAGAGTTGGGTAATAGATATGGTTCTACATTGGTGGTGACAGGACCCACCCACTAAGGGTTGGTAGAACACACTGATGGTGCCTCTCATACTGACCTAATGTTGTAGACCTAAAGCAGGCCAGAGTCATAAGGTCAAACCGCACCTTGACTTGGACCCTAGACATGGGTCTTAGTCTATACTAGACTAAAGACTCAAACTTGACTAGGATGGACTAGACTAAACAAAGACAAATTAAACAACAGCCAAGAAAGCATCACACAAAAAGGTTTGGAAAGATTGACCTATGTTCTTTGGGTAGGTCAAGGTTAAGAAGGGTTTCTAACTAAGGAAAAACCTTAAATCTGGGTTAGGCTTGATAGGTACCCACACAAGTCTCAAGCTGGCAAAGAAAGGTGGGGCAAGGGCCTTACTATGTGTGTGGGTTGTTTTCTAGGCTAGGAAACTACATAAGAGCTCTCGTTTGAATACTGCACAATCCCCAACTATCCTGCTCATGAAAATTGGGTTCCCGCATGACTTGAACACGAGTATTAGGGGTTTCATAAAAAAAAAAGTCTATTTTTCTTTTATCATTTTTTGAATTGATCATGTATGGTTTGTGTGGAAAATAGGCACGCATGCGTGGCTGCAAGGGTATGGAGAATAAGCACGTTGACAGGCAGACTTACGATGCAAGAAAACTAATAATTCCCCCTTTTTCTTTTTTCTTCATGTTTATATTTCTTAATGGGAATCATAAAATTTCAAAGAATATGAAACTCAAAAGCATGAAACATGGGCCAAAGGCCATCAGAAAAACTTTTTGGTGGTCCCCTATAATGAGAGACACGGACTGAGTCGAGCAAAAACCTTACTCAATTCAACTTGTGCAAGACTCTGGCCTTCGGGTCAAATCTAGGATTCCCATATGGTTTCCTAACATGATTCTTCTATTATATAAAAAATAAAATACAGAAAATTCAGGGAACTTTTAACGATTGAATTGGTGGGAAATCTTAGCTCAATTGCCTCACGGTGGGTGCTAAACTATTTATGTGCCAAATCTTACAACACTATAAATGATATATCCTTAATTTACGTACAAACAGTTAAAATTTTTAGATCAGTAGAGCACATAGGTCTTGTCAAATTATGGGTCTAAAATAGGTTCAGATCTGAATAGGTTTGGCCTCTTTTGTATCGATTTGCTGGGTTTCCACAGCGAATTAATCTTTCAACGCTAGATTCATGAACTAAATGATTAAAATTAAAATTAAAATATAAAATCAATAATTAAATAAATAAATGAGGAGGTACTTACCTGAGGAACCCGGAATTGGGGCTCATATCAAGACTGCGGGACAATTGACACATTTGGTATCTTCTCTTTCTTCTAGAAGAAATGGCTTTAAAGGGATTATAGGATCCTAGGAGATCTTGTTCGTAGGGGTTCAAATTGGAAGAATTTTGGAGGGAATCCAGCTCATAGAAAATTAGGGTTTTTAGCTAAGGTTTTGGCTAGAGGACAATTTTAGGGATATTTTTTAAGATTTTCCTATGGTTTTTAGGATGTATGGGTTATCCTAGAGTTGTTATTTTTTCTACTTTTCTAGGTTTCCTAATTTTAAGGAGATTTTCTAAGGATTTTTTAAGATTATTGATGGAATTTTGGATCATTTTTGGTTGATTTTCTATGTAGGGTTCGTGGGGTTTTTATAGGCTTGGGTCATAAGAATCTTCCTTGGAATATTCCCTTGAGCTCTATTTTTTATAATACTTACTCTAACGAAAATATTGCCAAAATTTCCCTATCAAAGCTCATCCAAGGGGCTTAAACTGCCTCTTCAGGCTTCCAACAGCTTCTAGAGAAATATTGAGTTTTCTAAGACCTAGAACAGTCCCACGACTCACTACTTGTCACTAAGCCCGCAGGTGACTTACCCCGAGTCGTGGTCCCAGATCAGCCTCTGCTTGTCCAGTGAAGCTTACTAAATCCGAAGCTTACTAAATCCAATAATGATGTTTTGATCCAGTTTTGAGATATTGGGACTGAGTTTCTAGCGGTTGTTATGCATTCTAATAATTTTGACCAGTTATGGATTAATCTAGTGGTTTTCTAGGGAGTATGGATTACAACATAGGTTTACTGTTCTCACCATGCTAGTAAGGCCCCTAACGCTCAAAACTACAGGTTTTTGGGACTTCTTTCAGCTAAAATTCAAGGGGAGCAACTACAACTCTCTCTTTGCGTGATTTGTACTCATCTTTATCACACTGTCTTGCATGGCTTGGAATATTGTTTTGTTATGTGTCTTTGTTTTTATGAACATATCACGGTCTTCCATCCCCTTAAGGGGAGGACTAACAATAGTGATGCGAGATGTTTGATATGTAACAAAAATGACACCAAATCCTAGAAGGTCGATAACTACTACAAGGTTCTCGATGAGCTTAGTTCAACTGGTGCATGAAGGGTTGGAGGAATCTATTCTAACCCTGCAATCGCTTGGGCACTCTCACTTGGCCTTGGTGCAACCTAGCCATTAAGAGGGTTATTTTCCTCAAAGGGTAGTTAGCCAACTCTGGTTTTTTCAAAACTATGTTGCAGACCAAGGTTTTAATTGGAGGCCATTTTATCTTACAATGTTATGCAGCCTGCGACTACACAGTGCAGCTTGTATCTTCTTCATGAAAGGAGAAGATTGAGAAGAAAGACTCTGCCGAGTGCCCTGCAGTATTTCTAGAGTTGTGGTCCAATGCTTGCCCTCACCCCTGTTCTACGTGTATACCCAGTTCCGTGTAGGAGGTATCTGAACACTCCATCGTCTTGATTCAGATCTTAAACTAATAACATTTAACAAAAGCAGTAGAGAAATTGGTTCCATCAACTTGCAACTTGTAAAAGGTGAAAGGTGTGTGCCTTGACACATTTGGCTTCTAGGTTGGCGGCCATGGTGGAAACTGCTAAGGCATCACTTGAATATGTAATCCATCTCTTCCTCAAAAACAGCGGGGAATATAGAGTTTAGCTATCTCCAAACACAATGATCTGAGTGAGTCTTCCTCTCACTCCAGGGGAACAAAAATAGCCTAGGGTGCATGGTGGATGACGTAGTCATCACTATTTCATTGCTCGATCCTCCTACAGCTTTGGACTCCTTAGCCATCGCCTGCTTTATAGAAATTGTACAGTAGGTGGCAGCAGGAAGAGTGGAGTCACACTGAGTGATTGGAGCCTGACCAAGGAAAAATACATGAAAACACTCTTAGCATTCATTCCCGCCATTTGTTGAACCACAAAATACCAAAATGAGAGAGAGAATAGGTAAAGAATCGACATAGAGATATGTACAGAGAATCATCAGTGGATGAGAAAACTCTATAAGGATGAAGATCATGGATGATGTAATCGAGAAAAGGAAAGGTAAGACTGGTCCACATTTGAACTGCCAAAAACTTGTTTCCTCAAATGTGATCCAAAGAGAAGTGGAAAAGGCAAAGAAGCACATGTTGTAAAACCAATACTTAGCTCCAATGAAGTAACTTTTATTCAGAGTCTAGGGTTGCAATCCTGAGGCACTCATAAACACGTTATTTCTTTTATATTCGAAGCAAAGAAATTACAGAGGAACATATATGTTTAATCGGTTACACATATAGAATGCAGAACACAGCTCAATTAGAAGAAATACAAGCCAGGATTAGATGATAGTTACTGAAATAGTATACCATGGATTCTTGCGTCTAGGACCTCTAATGTATAGATGTCAAGCCTATAGATCGTTGACCCAATGATGAAATGCTGATTATTTTGGATCAAATGAATTATCGAAGTCATTAACTCAATGCTGTGTAGGCAAATGTCAGACACTTTTAGAAGGATCTTAAGAATATATGTGGCACTCAATCATAGACTATTTGCAATGGGCCTTACATTAACAGTAGCTACAGTCTAGTGATTGGCTGTAGGTTTCATATGACCTTTCCATTAAAGCATGACTGATAGCATGATGATCACTCATCAACTTGATCCATATCGGATATTTGTCCTCGGTACTAGCTTATAGAAGCATGGATCATGTGAGAGACTGATCCCATAAGCATTACCATTAGACCATATTGTATGCAGATCAGATTGACTCATGGTCTTAATTATTGACAGCATTGAATGAATGTATCCGTGGATTGAAAAGAATGCACTAAAACCATTAACACCGTTCAACTAGTAACATAGCATCCAGGTGAGCTATAAGTCTAAGTATGACATTTGATCGAATTAGTTGACCATGACGCTTATGGCATCGTACGTCAGTTCAGGATATATTAAAGTATATTTAGGTGACACAAAACCCATGCAAACAATCACAATTTTATGCTTTTCCATTTTCTGATCCGTAGGTGTTTTAAAACTTGGAACTGAGTTTTCGGATCAGCCACTCGGGCTAGTTCGGCAAGTCGGATTGGTGTACGAACATAAGTAAAATAATAAAAATATTAAAAAAAAAAAGGGACTCAGGTGACTTTCAGCTTCCCTCCACCTGGGATCACCTTTATCTTGCATCCAATGGGGCCATTCCGGTTCAACCTCCACCGATTTTTAAAATATTGCTTTCCCAGCAACAACATCAACCACAAATAAATGAAATCAATAATTAGAATCAGTGCAACAAAGTCATGACCAAAGAAACAAAACCTAGAAATCTATTTTTTTATATACCAGCTGCAATCAACGGCATCTCCCCAAGATTATGTAGTATCCTTAGAAAGAGGAGATGAAGAATCAGAATCATCGTAAGCTGGAGTAGTGGAGGAGTCCTCATTACCAATCCGACCACCACAAATCTCTTGAATCAACTGAACCACCTTGCTCATGTTGGGCCTCTGGCTTGTTGATTCAGATAAACAGAGCAATGCAACCTGTAACAAACTCACCATCTCTTCTTCACATTGCCTGTCTTTCATGAGCTCCAAATCAAACACCTCTGAGGTCCACTCCTCTTTGACGACGCACTGTACCCACTCCACCAATGATACACCACTCTCTTCGGAAGGTCTCCCTGTGAGGATCTCAAGGAGGACGATGCCAAAGCCATAGACATCCAACTTTTGGCTGGGCTTCTTTTGGGGGGATTGGCGTATAGAAGGAGTCGTGTGTGGGACGAGGTGGTGGAGGGCAAAGTCAGATATGCAGGCAGAGGCGGAAGGATGGGATAGGAGGATGTTGGAGGAGGTGAGGTTGCCATGGGATAGGTTTAGGGGCTGCCTGCAGGTCTGGTGGAGGAATGCAAGGCCCCTAGCTGCATCCAGGGCGATTCTGAGCCTGCTTTTCCACCTCACTGGTGTCCTACCCGGTCCCCTGTTCCCTGCCCATACATATAAGATATATATATATAAACGAATTGTTTGTACTTTTTTGAGAGAGAGAGGATAATAGATAAAGGGAATGTCGATAAAGAGACCATTTATCTTTGTATACGGAGGTCACAATCGTTCTTGTCCCTTTAATTTCAAAACAGGTGGTTGTAAGAGTGTAAGTGAATAGATACAAAATTCAAAAAAACAAGTTCTTCCCAATGAATGCAGTGTTTGAAGACTCGCTGGGTCAACTAGGACTCCGCCAAGGTATTCAGACCAGCACCATGTCGAGGCTTGTTTCTAGGTACAAACTCAAAAATCTAAACAAGTTACAGAGTTTGTATTTGAACTTGCTCTCATTTTCTGCTTTTCCCTTCTTTTGGATTATCTGAACCAGTTATAAATCAGTTTATTTTTTCTAAATTCCATATTCTCCATAGTTTTTCTTTCTTTTATAGGCTTTTAATCTCTTTTTATATTTTTTATTTTTTAAGGTTTTGAGCTACACTGCTGGGGAGAGTCCACTTACCGAAGAAATATGGCTTGGGGCCCATTTCCCAGCTCATGCAAAGTTATTAACCACTTGATTCAAGAGTTTAATGAACTAGCACCGAGGGAGAGAGAGATGGAGAAAGAAGACTTTTTTGTCATGGCAAAGATTTTGAAGAATTGGGAAAGGGGCTAGGGTCGTGGTCGTAGCATCCCCACGTCTAGTCACCACGTTGGTGTTTCCATTCCTACCATTAACACCACTCTAACTCCTAATCTACTTTAAAAAATGGGTAGGGGCCTCTCTTCCCCACTGAATTACCCAAAAACAAGATTTTGAAGAATCTCTTTTGCGACTCAGCTACCCGGGTTTTGGGGAACCCATTCCTTGTATTTTGTGAATGTCAGTGTTCCTCACAATCTTTAAGTGTCACTTTTTAATTATTCATGTTCTATTTGTTACAGTCAACAATTTCACTTACCATTTTTTATATGCATTTTTTGCCTTCCATTCATGAGAAGATTATCTTATAGTGGGTAAAACAAAACAGTAGAGAGAACTCTTGACGATGGTGAACATTTTCAATAATTAATTGAATCCATGATTTCGGAAGAGAGAGAGAGTAGTTACAAATATTGAGTAATGTTAGATAATGATAAAAAATTAGATTTAAGAAAATGCTTAAAACTTGGAAAGAGAGACAGTGGCGAACAAGAAAATCTGAGACAATGGCATTAACCCAATTCACAGAGGAAAAAGACAGCTTTCTATTTGAAACCAGATGGAAGATGAGAGAGAAAGGCAGGCCATTACATACAGAAGAATTAACCTAAAAGAGAGATACAGAAGCATTAAACCATTTTGTGTGTGTGTCTGAGAGAGAGAGGGAGGGAGGGAGGGAGGGAGGGAGAGAGATAGAGAGCATACCATGTAGAAAGGAGTGAAGGCTCCCATAAGGCAGGAAATCATAGACTAGCAGGGTCTCATCCTTGGAGTAATAACAAGCCCTCAAACTGACCACATTCTTGTTCCTCAGCCTCCCCAACACCTGTAAAACCTCTTCCCCATCTTTCTTCCTCTCCTTCAATCTCTTCACCACCACTTGAACCCCGTTCTCCATTGCAGCCTTATACGCGGCCCCGAACATCCCCTTACCCAACATTTCAGCCGAAGCCCTCAATAGCTCATCAAGCTCGAAAGCTTTACAGCCCTCGAAAAAAACCAGATTTCCTCTCTCTTCCCCCCTTCGGCTGCCATGAAAGCTCGAAGAATAGACCATCCTCTCTACTAATCCCCCCTTTTTCTCCCTTTTCTCAGCACCAACACCCATTCTAGACCAATAACAATAGATAAACGCCCCACCGAGCAGAAACAAAACTATTGAATCCACTGCAACAATGGCTATAACAGCTGTGCTGCTAATTCTATCCCCCTTTTCTGCCAAACCCCCCATGATGGCCTTTGGGTCTTCAGAAACAGGGTGGTTCGGTATACTATTTACAGTGGAGTTTGAGCATTTGGAGAGCAATGGGGTTCCACAGAGGTCTAAATTTCCTGAAAATGAAGATGGGGGGAAGAGGGATAAGCTCTGAGGTATAACCCCAACAAAGTTATTGCCAGAGATATTGAAATCCTCGAGTGTAGAGAGATTTAGAGAGAGAATGGTGCCTGCAAATGAGTTGCTTTCGAGCCTCAGGGTCAAGAGACGAGGCAACCGGCCAAGGCCCACAGGCAAGTGTCCACTAAAGGCATTGTGCGCGAGGTCGAGTCTCCATAACCTCCTTAGCTCTGAGATTCCATCAGGGATCTCACCAGAGAGGTGATTATGAGAGAGAAAGAGCTGTTTCATGTTCTTCCAATGAGAGAGAGAGGGAAGAGTTGAGCTCAGAAAGTTGTATTTGAGGCTGAGGACTCTGAGCTCACTGAGACCAGCAATGGCGTGGATTTCGCCTGTGAGATTGAGTCGTTGAAGAACAAGGCGGGTCACTCGACCTCTTAGACAGTTGACTCCAAGCCATTTTCCTGAACATGGGTCTGCTGAATCCCATGAAGAGAGATAATTGAAGGCGTCTACTGAAGATTTGAAGGCTTGGAGAGGGGCGAAATCGGGGTTGGGGTTGGGGTCGCAGTTGCAGGAAGAGAAGAGCAGGAGAAGGAGGAGATAGAGGAAGGGGAGCTCCATTACTGTGTGCGCGTGAAAGTAACGGGCAGAAAGTAAGAGTGAGTGCGTTTCGTGGAGAAATATATGGAAAGGGAATAGGGGAAAGATAAAGGAAAACGGTTTCCCGCATAGTGTAGAAATGAGGGGCAATAAATATATTTTTTAAATATAATTTGATTCTAATTTTTAGAGAATATAAAATATTTAATATTGAGATCATCAATATGTAAAAATAAAATTAAAAATTAAAAATAATAATTATAACTCTAGATAAATTTAATAATTAAAAATAAAAAATTAGTTACATTTGTTTTTAAATTGACTACTTTATATCTCTAGACCGCATATTGTAGCAATGCGATCCAGCCCGCACGAAACAATTTTAAAACGGGGTGCTGAACTCTATTTGTGGGTCTAGTGCAAGAAAGTAACGGGCAAAAAGTGGGGAGAGAAAGGATGGATAATGGTGGTGGGTAAGAAATTGATGCAAAGGTGAATTAATGATTTGTCTTGTATTGAAACTGAGCGATCATGCTGCTCCCTCAGGAACATGAATACACTTGCTCCCTCGTTTAAGAATCTGATGATTTTCTTTTTAATGATCTACCAATGGACCACCATGATTATTGTTTTGGATGAAATTTCTATAAGGCCTAGGCTTTATAAAAAAGAAAAAGTTTATATAGAGCCGCGGTTGTAAACAATTAAATTCGAGCCTTGCTCAAAAATTTTACTAGAAGAGATTGTTTTGATGCTCAAATATCCTCAAATTTATTATCTCGACATCAAGATGCATGGATATGAGAAAAAAATGGATTTCAAGTTTTGGAAATAGTGTATTTTGTAACGCATTTTTGGACCGTCAATTTTCAAGATTTTCAAGTTTTCATAGATCTATCGATCTATACTATTTTTGAAGCTTTAAACTTTATAAATAACAATAAAAATATATTTTAAGGCTATCAAAAAGATTTCCAATTTTGAAACCATATTTCTCTATACTATTTGAATGTAGGCTCTAATTTGATTGTTTAGAGCCTAGGCTCTATACAAACCGTACCCTTATAAAAATAAAATAAAACCTCACCTCAAATCCTCCCTCATAAAGCACTTTCAACAACGGAATCTCCACGGTAGCTCTAAAATCAATTTTAACACTAACAATGGCACTTTTCGGTAACAAAATCTCCATGATAGCTCTAAAATCAAATTTTAACATTGACAATAAAATTTAAAACTCAAAAAATAGTATTGATCTTGTGGATCTATAAACATTAATTTTTAAGGAGAAAATGATGGTTTAGATAATTTATTACAATATACCAATGTTTAAAAAAACGTCTAGTCGAACCGGACTTGCCCGGTTCGACTCGGGAATCGCCATGGAGGGATCGAATCGCTGTAAAAAACGGGAATCGTCCGGTTCTAGAGAGAACCGGACGATTCTGCACAGTGACTCGCCGATTCACTGTACGGAATCGGCGAGTCCGGTGAAGAACACGGGTTGCACAGTGTTCTTCACGGGATTCTTCGAAATTTGTCATTTTTTTATCATTTTTCTTGTTTTTTTTGGCATGTGATCTAATTTGCAGGCTGTAGACAGCTTTATTCAGCTTTTACACAGATTAAATGGTTGAAAAATTT